TGAAAAGCGGCCCCAGCAGCTGGATCCATCCGAACTGGAAGGGGCGTTTGTGCTTTAGGTTTGCCTCGGCACACTTGACTGTGCCCGTTTGACTGTGTTTCCTCCGGAGGCGAGGCTGGGCTCCGGAGCTCTGCAGGCACGACCCCCCGTGCGAGGGGCCGTCAGGTTCTCGGACAAAAGCGAGCCGGCAGCGCGCACGGAGGCTGGTTTCCCAAGTCAGACGTTCTGCGCTGATTTTCCACCTTAGGAGTGAAATCGACTTAACGTCTGCAGCATGTGAGCTTCGCCTGCAGATCCAAGCTGTTACATTGGACAGCCCCGACAGTTTTGGGGGGTGAGGGAGAGGAGTGCGATTCTTGAGCGAAACCTAACTAGAACCGGCAAACAGGACACGGTGTAGGCAGCTTTTACCACCAGTAACTTAAAACTGTCAAAAGAAAGAAATTTTGTCTGGTACATACAGGGTTTAATTTTAATTTTGTTCTAATGATAATAGAAGCTCAGTGTGTTGGTGGAACTGAAACGACGCGGGGCTTCATAAACTCCACGGAGTTTATTTCTACGCAGCAGACCTGTTGCTTCAGTAGGCTAATGCGCGTGGCTTTTCCTGTTCTTTCTTCTCCCAGAACCAATCTACGTTCCATTCCTCATTGTTGGATCCATATTTATTGCCTTCATTATCGTGGGCTCTCTGGTAGCGGTTTATTGTTGCACGTGTTTAAGACCTAAGCAACCGTCGCAGGCAATACGATTTTCTCTGCGGAGCTATCAGACCGAGACCCTTCCCATGATCCTGGCCTCCACAAGCTTCAGGTCGCCGTCGAGGCAGTCCAGTACCGCGACAAGTTCCAGTTCGACCGGCGGCTCAGTTCGCAGGTTCTCCTTTCCCCGGGCAGAGCCAGGGTGCCTTGTGGCATCGCCACCTCCACCGTACACATCTGGCTGCTTCCAGACAGCCCATGCAGTCCACCTGGCGCAGCCATCGGGATTTCTGGTGTCGCCGCCGTACTTTGGGTATCCTCTCCAGCCAGAGCCTGCCTTGGCTGGGAAGAGCTGCTCCGATTTTAGTCAGAGCTGAAAGGAGTTGACGAGAAATAATGCAGCCTTCGGAAGTGCAGGGACTGCTGCTGTTGGGTGTCACGCTGACACGCTCTGGGGTTGCAGCAGTCAGAACCGTTCCCGTGGGTGAGTGCCCCTCAAAAAGTGCAAGCTCTCATTTGGGGACCTCATTTCCCAAACTCGGATCATGCTTACAAATGAGTTTTAAAATGTTGCAAACTTAGTCTCTCTAAAAACTGACTGCTCTAAATCTGTCTGATTTCTGCAGAACGTGTTCAGAGACGAGTAGAGAAACCATTTTGGGATAAAGGTACTTATTTCACGGTGTTATAAATGACATTTTAACACTAAATGCTATTAACTTAGTTAACAAACGGTGGCTGCATTCCACTCATAATAATTAGACTAGTTCTATAAAGCAGCAATAAGTCTGAGAAGTAAGAGAGGAATAATACTAACTAAAGAGTTTGCGGATCCTGAAACTGCTGACTGCTTCCTACTTCCATGAGCAATGAAAATATGAGGAAGTGTTTTACTACAGATATCAGAACATGTGGGTTTTTAAAAATACACATAATGCACCTGAACTTACACTGCATATTTGTATTACTAAGCTATAACCAAGATAGGTAAAACTAGTACTAATTAGGCTAGTTGAAAATAGCAGCCAAATAATTACGTATGAGAACAGCAGAATGTGTTCAGCAATATCACTAACAACTTCTCTGCATAAAATTCTAAAAATGGCATTATATTAAAGCATTTTTCAGAAGGAAGTATTTATTGTTGTCTTTTTGCTCAGCAACGTGTAAGTTGGACAAACTGATCATAAAGTTCTATTTGTAAAATTAGCCATGTATAAAATGTAAAGACAAGCTTGTAATTTAAAATGTATTTACAGCATTGACAACACTAATTATTTAGTAGTCACACCAAAAAAAAAATTATCAATAAACTGTGTGGTTGAAATGTTGCGTCATCTGTATGTCTCAGTACAGATAGTGTTCGATAAGCAAGTTTTAATTTTGATGGTGTAACTATACTATAGTTCTTCCTGTTAAAAATAGTTAATTTTGCTTTTGTAAATTTTTTACATCTTTAACTGTGCACCTGTTGTGCAGATTTAATATAATGTAAAATTCTGAATATATAGCGAACTGATAGATCAATTAATGTCTTTCATATGCAAGTGTGGTAGAAAAGTGGTAAAAGCTACACTGATTAGTTGAGTATTTTAATTTAAAACATCCTGCCCTAGGAGTAAATTTTGTTTGTTCTTCTACATTCCTTCACCCAAGTAAACTAACAAACCAAGTGGAAGAAGAAAAAAACACATCTAAACCAAACACATGCAGCAAGCAAACGGAAAATACACAAGAAGAAATGCAGTCATTAAAGGGCTTCTCTGTATTACTTATTTTTGTGGACAAACGAAGTCATTCTGTGTGTCAGTCTACAACATCGGAGGCTGAACTTTCCTGTGCTTTCAGCCCCAAACTCCCCGTGTATAGGATCTCTTGAAGTACATTATAGCTGACCTATTTTACAAGTGCTAGCATATAGGTGCATATTCAAATTGCAGCACTTCTATGCTGAATTACGGTGTACTTCTCTGTATTTTAGAACAGCTTCACTGGTTCTTCCTCAAGAGTTGAATACATTTTTTTCTTAGCAAATATCTAACAATCAGTATCTTGGCATTTATAAAAAAAATATTTTGAAATAACCCTTTTAATATGTTTTTCATTGCATAAAAAACATAATATAATAGGTATTACAGCTGGAAACGTGGTTTCTAAGCAGAAAGACCACTCAAGTTGTGTGCGATGATGTTTCCAGTAATAGGGTTTAGCTTGAATGTTGTAATTGTTAATTACAAACTAAAATCATGATACACAGTAGTGTATGTTTTATAAAAACCTAAAAAGTAGATTTTGAATACTTGGGAAATTAATTGAAACGTAAGTGGTTTGGCTTGCAATTTTTTTAGAAACAATCTCCAAGGAACGGGGTGGGTAAATTTTTGCCCACCAGACTCCTGTCACTGCACGTTTTGAACGGATGAGAAATACGGGACTGTTCCTCAACTAACTTTTTGGAAAAATCATTTAAAAATGCAGCAGGTATCATCAGCTCTGTTGTTTGGAAGCATCCTGCGAGATGTGCTGATCATGGCCGTATACAGCAGAAACAGATAGTAAAACAATTAAATGGTATTTTTTACAAAAATAAAGCCTTGGATTGGTAGAAATCTTCCTTTACCTTGTAAACCAAGGCAACACAGGTCCTTCTGGAAGCAGAAGCTTGATCAGTTTTAGCTAAGAAGGTGCAGTTTTATGTTCCTGTGAAGAGCAATTAGCCGTCGGAGCCACTGACCCAGCTGGCGGGTAGCTGAAATTCGGCCTTTTCCTCCAGGATCGGCGGTACGTTCCCCTCCAGGGAGGCCGTGAGCCGGGCCCGGGTACTGCCCGTGGACCGAACAGGCCGGCCTGCTTCATTCAGCGTAATGGTCTCCCTGGGCTCGGTAGCCAGATTTATTAACGGTTGAACACGGGGGCAGATCTTCGCCGCGCTTGCATGCGGTCTGACAGATTTAAACGATGACGCAGCCCTAAGTAGCGGCTGTGAAGTTCAGCAGCAGCGTGAAACTCGGCCTCGCAGGGAGGACCCCTCCGAGCTACTCCCTTTCCTCCCCTGCTGCTGCGTAATGGGTTTGACCTCGTACACTGCTTGAGGAACTCGGCACGCGGGAGTAATTCCGTTGAACCGGGCCGACGCGAGGCTGCGAGTTTACGGCGTGCCGAGCGCTTGGCAGACGGCGGTCCACGGCTGGGGAGGGCCGGTTCAAATCGCTGTGCCGCGTTACCTGTCAGGCAGGTGAGGCGGGGATTATGCACCATAGACCAAGGATCTATGAGTTGCGAAGAATCCATGAGTTCGCGTGGCTCCAGTGGCAGTGACCTGTGTAGCTGAAGGGGGGTGGCCAGAGCAGAAGCCCATGGACCCACGTGCTTGTTGCCCGTGCCAGCAGGTGCCAGCCCAGATGGATTCAGGCTGCAGGTGAGAATGCGGAATTTCCTTCCTAAGGAAACGGACCTATTGGCACTAGGTGCTCCTGTCGTTGGTAGAAAACAGTCATTTTTCTAGAACTTGCAGGCAGAGCACAAATGGCACTCTGATACGCCGTTTTAATGACTAGTGAAACAGTTTGAAGGGCCAGATGCGTGCTTGAGCTGAAAGAATTGTACGTTTACACAGTACTTGCTCATTACTGCCATGCTTATTTTTTAAACAGTAGGTTTAACTAGGGGGAGGGCCGGTTCAAATCGCTGTGCCGCGTTACCTGTCAGGCAGGTGAGGCGGGGATTATGCACCATAGACCAAGGATCTATGAGTTGCGAAGAATCCATGAGTTCGCGTGGCTCCAGTGGCAGTGACCTGTGTAGCTGAAGGGGGGTGGCCAGAGCAGAAGCCCATGGACCCACGTGCTTGTTGCCCGTGCCAGCAGGTGCCAGCCCAGATGGATTCAGGCTGCAGGTGAGAATGCGGAATTTCCTTCCTAAGGAAACGGACCTATTGGCACTAGGTGCTCCTGTCGTTGGTAGAAAACAGTCATTTTTCTAGAACTTGCAGGCAGAGCACAAATGGCACTCTGATACGCCGTTTTAATGACTAGTGAAACAGTTTGAAGGGCCAGATGCGTGCTTGAGCTGAAAGAATTGTACGTTTACACAGTACTTGCTCGTTACTGCCATGCTTATTTTTTAAACAGTAGGTTTAACTATTTCTTTTATAATACTGGAGGGAGTTCATACTCATTTACTGGAGTGACACCCATCTAAAATGAATCAAAATGCAACAAAAATCACATTAAATTGATTATTGTCATTCACACACATTATGCACAAAATGCTTTGATTGCCATTAACTGGCAATGGCATATATGAAACCCCAGCCTTCTGTGGGCAAAGACTAACAGTGACATAATCAGATCAGCCATTTGTTTTTTATTTCTACATTTTGAGTTTCTTAAGTGTGTATCTCCAAAATGCATCAAAATTCTTCAGTGCTAAGAAAAACATCACATGAATTTGCAAGAACGCCTGAAGGATTTTATTTGAAACCAGGTAAGCCGTCTGGTATATGGCTATGTAAACTCAGATTATTTGTCATACTAATCCCACTGGGGTTAAAAAAAAAAAGTGACAATTCCAAATTTCTTTGTCACTACTGTTCACTTACAACTTGACAGTAACATTAAGGAGATGGAATCCATTCTTGGCGCTGTTTTTCTGCATATTGTTATGTGCTGTGCGAACTTGAGCTCCTCTGAACGGAGCTTCTGCTTACTCCATTTAGGTTTGGATATATTGATTTTTTTTCCGTGGGTGGGCACTGCGAGGGGAAAGAAATACCCACTACTATCAATAGCCAGAGGCTACAGTACTTATCAGTGTCATCTGAAAAAGGAGATGACATTTCCTTATTCCCACTCTAACATTCTTGTGCTGCATACTTCTCTTTCAAAACATGGTCTCACCACCAGAGTATGTTAGTGCTCTGCTGCAAAGCACTAAATTGCAGACTCCCGTGCTCCCTTTTTAAAACTTTTTTTTTCTGGACTTCACATGAGAACTGAAAAAGAAGTCTCAAAATAGGTGTTTAAAAAAAACACCTTAAAGTAATTTTCTACTTTTTCAGCTTACCTTAGTAACGTAAGAATTTTTTGGTATTTGTGTGAGGCTATTTCTGATATGTCCCATTTTAAAGAAGTCAAAAGAGTGATGGGATATGTCTTTTCCTATGAAGGTAATCTTGAGCATTTGTAACCAATCGATTCAGCAAAGCTTCTTCATTTAATGGCAAAGTTTATTAATTTTTTAACATTTAAAAGACAAAACATTTAAAATTTGCAGTTCAAAACATGCACATTCACCAAATGCCAAATGACATGTAACACTGCATAGAACTGAATGAGTTACTAAAAGAGAAGAACTATTTATAAAACACAGTGCATTTAACATCCAGTTAAAACTAAACCTGAGAAACTACCATAAACATCGAGTCAAAAAGTCTTCATTCATGCAGCTTCATAAGTTCCACAACGGTTTCAGCAGCAATGGCTTCGTGGAGCTATAAAACCTCACTACCTTGAATGCAAATTTTGCTGTTACAGACTGACTGCTTTCTGCAGCAGTTCATACTTATCAAACACTGAAAATCTTAATGAAAAATTAAATTGAAGTATAAAAACAATATTAATGCATTTATGGCTTCTATTCTATAATAAAGAAACACCATAAAACATGGTTTTTAAAAAAGCTTGTTCTGGTCACAGCTTTGCAATTACAAACCACTCTCTCTATAGAAATGCTTCCATTTTAAGTTAAGAATATCAACCCTCCGAAGTGCCCAACTTTGCACATCATTGCTCAGATGAGCAGTCCTTATACTCACAAACAGCCCGCTTGATGCCTGTGTGAGCAATGGTTTGCATAAGCAGGAACCAGGTTTGGAATGCTAAAATATTCCTTTGTTTATAAAGATCTATTGGTTAACAGTGAAGAAAACTGGGGGCGCGAGGGCAAAGGGGAGGGAAGGAGAAACTCATTTGTTGAGTTTTGTTACCAGTGAAAACATCCAGTATCAAGAAAGTTGAACTGACAAACTCATTTGCTTACATAGCACTAGCTTCTCGATACATTATGAGCAGACTTTAACGAAGGCATTAAAAAACTGGAAACAGCAACCACCATGCATTGCCTCAGAACACTTAAAAATATTACCTCATGCAGACAGAATGATAAATTCATCAGAACTACAAATGCTTTTACACAATTACATAAGAAAAAAAGGGAAATAACTTCTCTCCTCAAATTTAACACAAATTCCAAATTACTCATCATTCAAGATGGGTTTAAATGTAACGGTCTTAAGACACTTAACACGCATCTTCAAAACACAGTGAATTTTATGGATGTATGTGGACATAGAGGATTCTTCAGCTATCTCTCAGTGTTTCAAAATATTTTATCTATCATTTTATACAAATAGAATGATGACTAAGTATAAATCTGTTGAAATTGCTTTGCAAAAATAAGTGTAAAATTAGGAAATGGCAAGAAAAAATTTCAAATACAAATTATCAATAGGTTTGTTATAATTTGTTTCCTGTTACGTACTCTTTTGAATAATTTATATATACGTATATTGTTAAAAATAAGCAAGCAACAGTATTTATATATCTGATTTCTAAGTGGCACTGGTTTGACTTTTTGATGGAAATTTTTAATACTAACTTGTAATTGTTTTGCAGTGCACATGAAACAGATGGAAAAGTCCATGTGAATTCTGTATTTGATACAAATTTGAATTTTCAAACAATAAGAACAGAGGCATTTTTATAAGCATTTTTGCCTAAACTGTTTTTTCTTTAAACAAACATCTGCACAATCCCCTTATTTGAACAAGATATGATGTACTAACAGGATGGTAATAGATTATATTACTGTGTACTCAATATGAAAATAAAGTGCATATCGTATACTTGACCTGATTTAAAAATGGGCACACATATCTAAGATGATCTTATATTATTAAAATGGAATTGTGTGAGCAATCAAAAAAACCCACAGAATTGCCACATTGTCTTTTTTATTATTTCCAAGAAGTGGTATCTTCCAACCACTAACTACTAGACAATAAGTAACACATAGTGTGTAGAAAAAGTATAGAGGCAGGAGAAAAACCCCATCAGAAGTAATAAAAATGAAAAATGCACTTTGTGAAATACTACTTCAAATTCTGTAAAGATGTAAGGATGAAACGCTGTGATAAGACTATCTTAAAAACCTTAAATTATGGTCTAAATTTAGGATCTTAGAGCTGTTTCAGTTGCTTTCTTCCTTATTAAGATAAATTGGGGATATACTGTGTGTTATTTTTTGCAAACTGTATTACAACGGTGAGACAGAATTTTACTTTGCAGAAGGAGTAAGAGATGATGTAAATTTCTCATTGTAAACATTTAAGAACGTATTCTAGTCCTCACGCCTTTTTCTGCAAAATCAGCAATTAAACCATTTAAAACGGAAAAAACCCAATAATAATAAAAAATTAACCCATAAAGAGCGTATGTATGGATTGAATTGTTTTATAGGAGTTAAGTACACTAAAAGATTATAAAGGAGCAACAGTGTCATGGTTAATTTCAGAAATGTTTTGAAGTTGGTCATTCTCCCTTGGATGACAGAAAATAGGGATCCCCATTTTAGGAAAGGGGCATGCCCCCGAATTTTTTCTTGCCTTAGGTCAAGTGATTTGGCCCTCCCATATTGATCCATCTATTTATCTATGCCTGAAATGGCTTTTCTGAAGGCAGTTCTTGTCTGCATGACTGACTGGCAGTACTGTTTCTAGTGGGATACGTTCCCTTTGTCCCTGTGTCTTCTGTTTTCTGTTTAAAGATCACTCCGGGAAAGTGAGAGGATGACATGGCATAACATGCATATGAAATGCAGACTGCCTTCCCATTGATATGCCTTCCTAAATATGTACTTTCATATAGTGCCTTTTGTTGGGCTTTCCATGTGTATTTTTAAGTTCCTCCTAGAATGGAGCGTAAGAAACTTGGACAGTGCAATAAATTTAAATGTTAAGCATTTAGTTAGATGAAAGGCAAGGAGGTGAAGTCAACCTTTAGTTAAGTATATGACTAATGAGGGAGGGCAGAGAAAAGATGGGAGTGGATGACTTGTTACTTTTAAGTTGAAAGTGGATGATTTGGAGAGCAAAGAGGAAATTCTTAATTTAACAGATCATTGGGGATGTCATGGTTCTGCTTTTCCATCTAGCTGATCTCCATTCAAAGATGAAAAGATCATTTCTAGATAATGCACAGAAATGTAATTAAAAATAAAATCAACAGCTACAATAGAAAAATGTATTTTAAATGTAATTATGGTGCATTTTAAACTCAGAATTAAGCATGGACTAAAAAGATACAAGATTTAACTAAATTCTGAAGTTAAAGTAGCTTTTCCTAGTTTGAAACCTGATGGTTGTTGGGTGGTAAGCTGAGAAATACCAAGTATAAACACTTTAAAAAGTCATCAGAATGCTCTCATTTCACACCTCCCTCTTTTTTTTTTTTTTTCCTTAAATCAGGTATGTATCTTTTTCTGCAGTTACTTCCTCTCCATTTTTAATTAAAGGTGGAGTATATAGGTATTCTGCATGACCAGTAAATTGTAAAAAGGCTGCTACAATGTATTTCATACCTTTATAGGAAGTGGCTTTAGGGCAAATAAAACAGTACATACGATAGACTAGCGAAGGCCATGCTTTGCTCTCTATTTCAATGTATGCATTTCAAACAATTTTAGTATAAAAATGTTGAAAATTTAACTTTTAAAAATAAGTTAAAACAAACTTTCTTTTGAAGCTAGTAGACACAACTAAGCATCGCAAAAATAATTAAAGTTTGCTAAAGGGAAGTAAGGCAGAGCAATTCTTAAAAATTGAACGAAATAATACGTGTACTCAATTTTACAAGGTGGCAGCCATTTTCAACATATGCGATACTAAACGAAAATAAGGGAAAAGCTTGTATAAGGCCAAAGGTGCAGACTTGCAGTTTTGAAAGCAAATGCCGTAAAGGCCACTCAGATTAGACTCACTGTACTGTAAATCTTTATCCTCAAGTGTGGAAACTCAAGCATGCAGTTCTGAGATCAGGACTGGAGTTAATCTCCTTTCGAAATATTTCTAACAGAAAAGATTTATGGAACTTCTTTGGCAAACATTTTTAGGTTAGTTTGACACAAACATCTATAAACCTCTTCACTCAAAATCTTTCTCAAAGAAGGTGAATTAACACCATTACAATACTATTTTTTTTAGCACTTGTTGAAATCAAAGGCTTGTTGTCAACTGTATTTAAATATATATTAACACTTAAAAACCTTCACAGATGCTAATGGTCTGTCAATGTAGAGTATGTTTAGCGATCTGACCATTGCCTTCTGAGTATATGACCAGTATTGATTCAACTTCATCATAAATAAGCAAGCTGGCAAGATACAAGGTAAATTCCAATCTGTTTACAAAGGCTAAGCAAATACTTGTTAAAAAATTTAGAGATGGTGTGTTACAGTATAGTTGCACAGTGCTTACGTCTACTGATTACACAAATCCAAACTTTATGGAACAAGACCATCACAGATCTTTAAATCTCTGATAACTGGGCCATGGTTGCAGCTCCCAGCAAAGATCTAGCAGTCTGTCTCACAAAAGTAAGTAGCTACTAAGGCCTAAATACTGAGCTGTGCTCCTTCACCATTCCTCAGGCCTTTGTTTTGTGGTATCGTAAGCTCTTATTACTTCAGACTGGGAAACTATTCCATTTTCATCTTGAGAGAAGGCGTAGCCATCTGCAAATATAAACCAAAATAGAAACCAATTAAATTTGGTAATATTTTTTTGTTAAAGCTTTAATAAAAACAACTTAAAGGTCAATATAAGGCAATAAACCTCTTCTCAGCAACTATCAGGTAGAAAACCCATGATGCTTCTAACATAATTTTGCAATTATAAAATAGCAGAAAGAACTCTGTGCAGTATCTTAAGAATGAAGAGGAACCTACAAACAGGCAAAGAACATGGGTTCCTAAACCCTAAACTGGGTTTAGGATTCTGCATCTTTACTATAAACAAATGCAGTGAAAGGTAGAATTTTACTATATTATTAATGGATATTAATTTTTACTTGTCAGTGAACACTTACGAAGCAAGTTTTGCTGCAGAGAGTCAGAGCGATACAAGTTCACATGGTTCTTCTTAAAAACATTCTTCAGTAACTGGGCTCTTTCAGTTAAGCTAAAAAGAAAGTAGACATGTAAAAAATATTTAATTACTAATTACAGTATCCCTTTATCTTTGAGTCTGTTAAATGGGAATGAATTATTAAATGAAAAGTTTCCATTCTCCTTTTTCTTTTTTAATGGTGCCTGAACTAATCATTAAGATGATTAAAAGCATGTGCGAGGGCAGATTATGAAGTCCTGTTCCCTGGTAACATTTTCACTCGTCACAGTACAGGCAAAACATCTGTCAAGCACTGTTGTGCACTGACAATACAAATAAATGAATAATATTGTGAACATTTGAGCGTGACTCCTTTAGAAACAAGCAGTGTAACGGGAAGGCACTGGCTCCCTTGACACAGCATGGCCTGATTAGGACCAGGCTGAATTACAGTCTTTCTTTTTCTTACATAAGAAAGTGCTCTTAGACTCTGCTGACACAGTACCCCAAAAGGATGGGAAGAGGGAGGGAAAGTCACATCCGTGGCTGGCCATCAGCTGTGTGTACAGAAACGTACTGGTTCCATGAGAAGTGTTCTAGCAAGGTATATTCACTGTGACACTCTAGAAGGTGTTTTTGTGGAGATCATATCCAAATAATAGACTACTATTACTACTAGAGCTTGGTCCCTTCAGCCCATCTCCTTCCTTCTCAGCAGTACTGTGTTATGACAGGCTGGATCAATGGGCTGAGGCCACCTGTATGATGAGGTTCAACAAGGCCAAGTGCTGGGTCCTGCACTTGGGTCACAACAACCCCATGCAACGCTACAGGCTTAGGGAAGAGTAGCTGGAGAGCTGCCTGGCAGACAAGGACCTCGGAGTGGTGGTTGACAGCCGGCTGAATATGAGCCAGCAGTGTGCCCAGGTGGCCAAGAAGGCCAACAGCGTCCTGGCTTGATTCAAAAATAGTGTGGCCAGCAGGAGTAGGGAAGTGATCGTGCCCCTCTGCTTGGCACTGGTGAGGCCGCACCTTGAATACTGCGTTCAGTTTTGGGCCCCTCACTACAAGAAGGACATTGAGGTGCTGGAGTGTGTCCAAAGAAAGGCAACGAAGCTGGTGAGGGGTCTGGAGCACAAGTCTTATGAGGAGCAGCTGAGGGAACTGGGGTTGTTTAGTCTGGAGAAGAGGAGGCTGAGGGGAGACCTTATTGCTCTCTACAACTCCCTGAAAGCAGGTGGTAGCAAGGTGGGTTTAGGTCTCTTCTCCCAAGTAACAAGCGATAGGGCAAGAGGAAGCAGCCTGAAGTTGCACCAGGGGAGGTTTAGATTGGATATGAGGACAAATCTCTTCACTGAAAGGGTTGTCAAGCATTGGAACAGGCTGCCCAGGGAAGTGGTTGAGTCACCATCCCTGGAGGCATTTAAAAGATGTGTAGATGTGGTGCTCAGGGACGTGGTTTAGTGGTGGACTTAGTAGTGCTAGTTTAACAGTTGGATTTGCTGATCTTGAAGGTCTTTTCCAACCAACATGCTTCTATGATTCTATTCTATGTGCTTATTGTGCTTTAATGGGATCCAAGAGACTCTCAATTTCAGCCCAACTAGAGAATAGGAATATTAATCAGGTTTTAAACTGAGACTCAAGCGTCGGCTGAATGCTGCAAACCATAGTGAATGGAGTAGTGAAGGTATCAGGTTTCCTTACTGTGCATCTTTCTTACATTTAGGGTTCTCTCAAATAGGATCCTACATTAGTAAATAAGTAATGGACAGACTAGCCATAGCTCAGAAAGCTTTCACAATCTGACAATTTTGATAACATATTAAAGATGTGCAAGGGACTATATTAAAACATCACATAAACCCTTCAATTCCTTCCTCTAAATTTGATATTCACTGTGAATTAGAGCTTGTGTTTCAGAGAAATACCAACTTATCATTTAAACATTTCCAATACTGAAAGATCCAGCCTCTCCCCATGTTAATTGGTCTAAAAATTAGTTCACTTAAAAAAATAGTATCATATGTTTTTTCTGAGTATATAGTGATTTGATTTTGTTATAGTTTTGCTAGATTATCAAAGTTGTTTCTTGTGTAAGGACGTGGTAAGTATAAAAGATTTCACGTACCTACGTTACTGAGTTTTGATCAGTCAAATGACTTTTTAATATTATTGTCAATTAGCTCAACAGACTTACCTTCCCAGGCTACCTTCAGACTACGTGACACAAGGAATAGAACTAGAATGCTTCCCTTACTAGATGAGCATTTCTAATTTAATGGTTTGAACGCTAATTCTTTCTTCAGTAAGTATATACTTCTTAAATATGAAGTTTGACCATTGTCTTAAACTGGAGAGACTGATGGTCTATCTCCCCTTTCTATTCCACTCCAGTATGGTCGTTAAAGCACATACCAGGAGGTAAGTGTTTGGCTCTTCCAAGTTGGAAGAGGGATGTAAACCTATCATTCCCACACCCAGAGAGGAATGCTAACTACAAAGTCTACAGCATAAGGGGATATGCAGGGAAAACTGCTTCTGTGGCCATGTTTTGAATGAAAAGATGGAATGAGGCTTCCTTGTAAAAAAGGAGTTAGGTACCAGTTCCAGGGAAGCAGTCAGCATCTGCTGACTGAACCAAGAACAGAGAGGCTGGAGTACTGAGTAAACACCTTACTCTCAGTGTTTTCATAAGCTAGCTCTTTGGAGACATTTTTATTTGTTTGCTTTTTAAATTTTTTTTTTTTTTTAATCCTAATTGCTCCTCTAGGCTGTGTAGGAGCCTTGGTTTTTAGTTCAGAGCTACCAACTGTTCAAATGACAAGATCAAGAAAAAATTAGGGACTGAGGTTTAAACCACAAGGATACAGAGAGTGAATAAATAAATATCTTCATGTTAGATGGGAGGTCAAAGAGGTGGAAGACCATGTGAATACTTAGATACAGTTAACAGCTGTATCTCCTTTGCAATACATCTGAGAAATTCTTCTTAATGTGATCTGAAATCAGCAAATTTCTGTGAAATTTTTGTTTTTGGCAGGTGTTACTTTCTAATAAAAAACTATTTTATTAAAAACATAGCAGGCCTATTCTAGCATTTTTGGTACCATCACTAGTCTTTGCTTGTGTTCCAGAATGAAGTGTTCAGATTGCTTAAATGCTAAGCACTGAAAATACTGCCTTAAGTTTTACAAGGACATGAAGTATGCACACGTCTTAGTTCATGTATAACGAAGTTTCCACTGCACAGATCTGATTGCTGGTACAGAAAATACAAATAACGTAGAAAACACATTTGGGAAAAGAAAAGTGCTTCTAGGTATTAAATTCTGCTCTATTTCTATACTTGAAGAAATACCGCAGGCTCTTTATTATGAATCACCCTGTTCCCATTCAAAAACATATTTAAAAACCTACATGCAAAGACAGGAAAACATGGTTTCATAATTAACCAATGATAAATCATAGTAAGTAAATGCCTATGCTCATTATGTGTACCAACATGGACAAAGAGAATATTAACTATTTTAAACACATATACATTTACATGCAATTAATCTCTATCTACAGAAAAAAAAAGTATTACTATATATATTTCTGACCAACTACTTAGCTGGCCTAAAAATAATTTCCAAGTGGACTGAATGAAAAACAATGATTATATGAAGCAGCATTTGCAGTATATATCTCTGAAGAGGTTTCCAGAAGTTTGGATTGTTATTCACGTTATTGTTAGTCTACGTAGTATTCAAGCAAGTAAAAATATTTTGCAGTAAGTATTAACAGTATTGTTTCTGCTGAAGCATTATATACAAGGTATCAGAAAAGCTGTTTTTCAACAATGATTTATATACAAAAAGTATCCTTCTACCTTAGTAATTTCACTTTTAAGTACAAATGACTTTGTGGCATTTCAATTACAATGGCTCTAATGATAGAAATAGTACTTTTTGTGGCACAAATTTGTTAATCCACTGAAGCTGCTCTATTATTTATGCTATCAAGGCACCCTCCAGTCCATAGTATTCCAGTATGAAAGTTTACTTTCTGATTGAGAAGTGATAATGCAAAATTCGCACCTTCTTGCTCAAAATACATTCTTACTTAACTGACAAATATATGTGATAAACCCAATTTCAACATGCTGTCTATGGAAGAATAGAATAAAGTGTTTTTGGACAGTTTTGGGGAAAAAAATCTGATTACACATCCTTACACACACTGAAACAGCAAGATATGGTAGGAATGCTCATCCTGAGCCTTCAATGATAAGTTTAAAAATCAAGTTTCAAATCAGCACTGGAAAAATACAAGAGATGACAGATTTTCAGACTATATTAGCATGTCCTACTTTTAAAGCATATGCTGAAATACAATAAAGATCTTTAAAGAACAATATTTTAAATTATTTCAATATAAATGTCAATTTTTATCCTAATTTTAAGACAACAGCTGAAAGTGCAAATTCAGAATCTAAATGGAAATTCCCATTCTAGGGTTATTTGATAGGAAAACATTAAAAAGTAAAGCCTTACAATCTTAGTTGTATTTAAATGCATGCAACGTCAGGTCAATGTAGTTCTAAAAATCTGCAACAAATATATTCTAGCTGAAAAAATAGCCATTAAAATTAACACTAATATACTTCTAAGTAAACATTCAGATATTGTCTGATTACAGCATCTAGCCAATAGTAGAATCCTGTCCTGTTATCTGTGGAAGCTGAACCTCTTAATTTTGTGTTGTAGTGGTTTTAAGATGGGAATGGACAGAGTAGAAAAGTTCCCGAGTTATCTTCCTCACTATTTCCCAGTTACTTCTTCATCAAACAGTGATTTGTATCTTCTTAGGTTATTTGGGCATTTCACAAAAACAAACCTCTTCTACTGCTACAACATAAAAAGGTACTTCTGGAGGTATGCACACTAGAAAAATACTATTTGGTGCTGAAGCATACACAGTAAGTTTGTCAAAAATAACTATTTGTCCTTCATGAAAAGCACTGCAACTCAAGAATAAGAGAGTCTCATGTACACGTACATTTTTAAAGCGGACATGCAGAGGACATTCCTTACCAATTTAACTACTTACTCTGCACTGGTAACTAGTTAATCCAGGCTTCTGCAACTTAGGAGACTCAAAAATGTTTACAATAGTTCAACCAAATTTCTGAAGATTCAAGTAAGTTCATCAGACCACTTCTTTAGAAAAGAATACTCCATAAAGGGTGAAGTTTTGGCTTTATTACCTGAATTAAGATATAATTTAAAAAAAAAAAAACCGGAGGGAATAAATCCTTAAGTGATATTAAGATGTCTAACATACATTGACTTGCATGTTAGGTGGATGCACGTATACTTCAAAGAATACAGATCTAAAAATAACTTTGTGGAGAAGGAATGGATCTAAGACAGACATTCTGGCAGGTAACTAAACCACCTTCATGAAGCCTTCCTCACTACTTAATTGTGGGATAAAAACATAATTATAAAAGTAGTGGTGAAAACACCAAGTTCCTCTTACCTAAATAAGAAGGGATTTGAAAGACATTCTGTAGGGTGAAGGAAAAGCATACTGCCTAGACAACTGAAGTAAAAGTAGCTGAATTTAGGAATATAAGAGAAGTCTTGGGAATGCCAGTATGGAACACTAAAAAGGTACATTACCTTACTTTCTTTTACATCCACAGGATGTTCTCCTTTTAGCACTGTCTAGTACTAACATCTCCTTTCTTTTCTGTAATTCATTCTTTTACAACTTTTGCTCTTTGCAAAAAAGCACATAGCATAAGCATAGATTGATTCTGGCTTAAAGCTTAGCACATCTGTGCATGAGTTGGTTAATTTGGAGGAAGATCTTGCCCTGAAGCTGCATAAATGAGCACTGCCACTGGAAGGAGGCATCCATTACAAGCAATTTAGATCACCTTTCAAGGTAAGAGAACTTACTCTTGCAAACACTAGTTGGTCTTTGCAGTGATGAAGGAAAAGCATGCTCGATCTAGGAATCGTCATCAACTAGGGGATTTTGCAGTTACTTCCAAGTGTGAAGCTGCTGCCACAAAGACAGCAGATAGAGCCTGATGGGAGACCCTATACAGGTATATGCTCCTATGTAGCCCACCACATAGACTAGGTGGCGGGATGAACTTCCAGGCCTCACAGTAGCTGCCCCTGGTATTCGTCTGTGTTACCAGGGAAGATTAACTCCACTAGAGACAAAACATTCTTGTGAAAATAATTTCTAGGAACAGAAAGGAAAAGTAGGAGCATACACTCACACAAGCTGGATATTCCACCCATTAGAAATGGTGGTCACCACCTTGGTATCCAATATAATTTCGTCTCAACCTGGTACATCCTAGTAAGCTGATTCCCACAGAACTGGAGGAGTGATACAGTAAGATTGAAGAAAAAAGGGAACTTAAGTATCTTTACGCACAAAAGGTGCTTCCTGAAAATTTAACCTACAATAAAATAAGTGGCTATTTGTGGTTTTTCTGTTCTCTTTCCATGCATACATTGGTAGGAAGAAAGCCTTCTTGGCTAAGCCCTTTGCTGCGAAGATGCTAAAAAAAGAGCAGTCCAAAGGAAAGAAAGAACAGGAAAATCAACAGTTGTATCAATAGTTTCGGCTTTTTTTAAGATTTCACAAAACTCATGAAAATGAAGAGAAGGAAAGAAAGTTCTAGCTCAGCAAAATGGCACTAATTAATTGGAAGGTGGGGAGAAGGGGGCTTTGTCTTCTCATACTCCCGTTCAGCAAGTGCTTGCTGCGAGTTCAGCTAGGGTTAAAAAGTGTTAAGTATTTTAGCGAGTGCACACCTTTACCCTGAGTTTACACATAGAAATTGTCCAGTTGTTCAGTTTTACCTTGTCCCTTTTCTAATTACCTGCCTGACTCATGAAGGAGGCTGTAACAAAGGGAATTCTTGTAGAGTCTTAAGTTTAACTTACATGAGGTAAGAAATAATGTTGTCAAATTTGTTTGCTCTCGATTGGCATTAGATACAAAGCCAGCTTGTTCTACTCAGTCTCAGCAATTTTAGATAGATTTTGCTGTATTCCTCTATGCTACCAAACAGGTTTAAAAAATTTAATTTTTTTTTTTTTATTGTGCTTAGGCTCAATTTATAAGTATACTAGTAAATGATGCAGGTTTAAACTCACTTTGTATTAACTTTTAACACAGTCAAAAGTGACAGAATTAAAATCGTACCTCAACTTTGTTCTACACATAATAACTAGAAATGTAAGAGTCAGCTACAAGGAAACACATCAGTTAAAGCTTTTGGTAAAACCTACATCTAAGCATATGAAAAAATATATGGGCTCAGCAGACCTGAAACCTCTTTAGAGATGCCTTTTGTTTGTATGGATTTTGAAAAATAACCTTTGTGTTTTATACATGTATAAGGCTAAAAATATTTAGCCTTTTTAAAAAAAAAAAAAAGACAATGACCTACAGATTTTTACAGTACCTCTTGCCATGCACAACTGCCCCAGGATCCTCAGACTTTGCTTCCAACTCCTGAACTTCATCTACCAGTGTCTTAAAAGTAGCTCTCTTTACTCTGTAAGTAATACAAAATACTGCCAGATTTACTCTTCTTGAAAGAACAGATGTTTTAACACATATAAACACTCAATTTACAAATCCATTTTCCCAGATGACTTTAAATTAAGCTTTGCAATAAAAAAACATTACAAAGCAAGTCTAAATAATGTATTTTATCAGCTGTTCTTGCAAATTAGGAATAACAAATATTTATAAAAAGACATTACAATTATTGAAATTATTGAAAATACTAATAGCACTTGTAATAAAGTTTGTCAAAAACAATAAAGGTGAAAAACAATTTTATATAATCACTAGAGTTGATCTTCATTTGCTTTTCTTATATTAATAATGAGAACACACATTTAAAAGTCAGTACTTTCTCCCATAAACCTTGGCATTTCTGTACTCACACTTTGTATACTACATCAAAAAGTAAAGCTGTCATAGGAATACATAGAAGTCCCATCCAAAACACTCCAGAGCTGAACATCATAGCTGCCTGGAAGGGAAAAAAACCCCACAAAACGTGATGATCTTATGACAAGAATTCAGGGAAAAAATGTAGAAATATCAATTATTTGGTGCAGGGTATCAAAAGCAAATTTAAAGGAACCATTCTAGACTCTCTAATGTGAAATAAAAATTTTAACTCCTTTTTAAAATCCCCTGAATTGCTGTAGAAATCCAGTAGACAGTAAGCACTAATTAATGTTAAGAAGCTGGTAGACAGATCGCACTGCTTAGCTCTTCGAGAGGGGGGGAGTCTACCCCTCCACAACCCTGCTCTACACCACTATGCTGATTGTAGACATTTCCATTAAAATCGGAGTTACCTAAAATCCACCCCCCTCTCCCTGCACAATCTTCCTCAATACATTATGTGCACAGTTTCTTATTTGACATCAACCCTAACAGGATATAATGTTCCTGATTCTTGATACAGATATTGGACAGTTACAATCATTTTGCAATATAACTCGGATCAAAGTTATCTCCAGCAGAACTCACTGTACCACAGTTCCCACACTGCCACAGACTCCTGTTCAACAAACTGCTTAAACGTAAGAACTAAGAAAACAACAAACTACATAATTATAGAAGTATGCAACATATTGTTAAATGAAGATCTAACACATTAACATATGGTGAAGTTTTTGCAAACAAGACCATTGCTTTTAGCTGTATGTTTGCTTTGTTATTCACCACTTGGTATTAATACATAGGCTTTTCTTCTGTTCATAACTTAACTTGGTCTGTAAACATACTAAAAACTAAAGCACACGAAAAAGCCAAAATAAACATCATAATGCATGGACATAGGAGGAAAAAAAAATCCTTCAATCTAGCCTTGTAATTCATGCCCAAGTATCTACATCAAAAATATTATGGATGCAAGGAGTATGACAGATACTTAATGAAGCCTATTACTGAAAGATTGTTTTGCAGTCAGTATTAAAAATACCTTTGTAACATAATTAGATTGCACAGAGATTGAGAGTAACATTGCTACACAATAATACCCTTTCAAATCCTTTGCTTCATTACTTGAAGAATAATTGCTTTCAAAGGTTAAAACTCAGTACGTAACTAAAATAAACAAACTGAAATTTTACTAATATTAATTAGCAGGAAAATGTAGGTAGCTTGCAGTAGCTAATTTCTGAATGTATATACATGAACATTTTAGAATTATATTTGATGTGTTCATGTGTAAAAAATGTGAATTATTTTCCGAAAAGAAATGTCATTCTCATGTAGGTAAAAAGTTTTATTTACCTTGTTTTCGTATCCAAATTCCTACTGACTCTTATTCTTTGGAAAGCATTAGAATGCATTTGAACTGAAAATTTGGTAAACTTTCCACAGCTATGTTAAAAGGACATGGACATCACCCTAAGATTCTAGTAATTATTTCTGCCAACAGCTGTCAGCAAAGGTGTAAACAGTGAGCAGTGAGAGGTTCAAAATAAAACAATTCACATTTTCAACCGAGGAAAAAAAAAAAAGAAAATTTTGTATCAGGAAGTGGAGAAAACTTATTAGCACAGTCAGTTTATAAGCAAAACATGACTTTTGACATACTTGATGAAATACTCATTTCCTAAAACAGCAGCTAATAGGAAATGTCTATCACAACTACATTTTTGCAAGACTTTTTATAATTAAGTAGCAATTAGAGAGACAAATTTCCCTAAAAAAAAAAACCAAGAAAAAACATAAAATATACAACTTGAAGTAATTACGACTCTTGCTTCCTATTATTAACAACATTTTTTAATTTATAAGAACATAGCAAAGAGCTGTCCTTGCATTAGCCACCCTGTACTAAGTGTTTGCTGGTGAAACAGCAAAAGTGATAATGTAGGTCTTAGGATGTTAATTCTGACCATTGTAATGCTAACTATGAATGAAGGAACAACTGGCGCCTACTATTCAGCCCATCCAGCCTTTGGCTTTACAAACGAACAACATGAATTGAGGGAAAAAAAAAAGTTTTTCTGCGTCATATTTGAAAGCCTGTCAGATTTTTTTTTTTTTAACAGAGTTAATCCAAACCTAAAAGATTTAAAGCCGACATTCGCATTAAGGACAGAGGGCCTCTTTGTGTTTTTTGGACGAAGAGGGGAAAAAATAAAATCCCACAGAGGTATTTCCTTCCTTTCTGTACAAGAAAGCTCCCCCCTCACTCTGTAGAAAACATTTTTGTCTCTAACTTTTCACATCTCTCTACACATAGGCAGGTCATCTGGGAAATGGCAAACCAATCCTTTTCAGACAATGGCACTAACAGGAGCAGCCTGTTCTGGGGACGGACTCTGGCTGCCTCTGTTCGTGGTTTACAAATTGTTCCTAATGTGAGAGATTTGTGGTCCATGCCAAGTTTTCCCCCTTTAGGCCTTGTGAAACCAAATGGAATCTGCCACAAAAGTGGCTCCCAGGGGAATTCAGAAGTAATCTAAAATGAGAGCGGGGAAGCCTAGTTTATTGTAGGACTTACAAATCCTGAAGGAAGGATAAATAATTTGTCGTCTGTGGAGCTCATGCTCAATATTAGGACTTTCTAAAGTGAATTAACATTACTTACTAAGTGCATTGTGCAAATTTTTTATATAAGTTCTTATTATATAAAAAAAAAAAAAAAGTTGAGAATTACTCCCTTTCATGGCTTAGTGACAGATGAGAAATCCCAGCTACAAAACATTTTAATGCACTGATGAAGATGTACTGTTAGGAAATCACATGCCAAAATGAACAGAAGATATTCCCTTTTTCTTCACTATGAAATGTTCTACCAAAACAGCTAGCTCAGATTTTAAAAGGCATTCTGAAAGTAAAGAAAGATGAAAAGAACATTAAAATTCTTACTACAGGAAAGCTTATGAAAACTATTTTCAGTTTATTTATTTCAGATATCATCTAGGTACGTGTCCTCGCCTTATAAACTACAGAACTATTAAAATAGTATCTCCTCAACACCATCAAACCAGCTACAGTTTCTCAACAACCTACGGAGACAACTTCATTGGTTTTAGTTATCTGCATGTGTTTGCCTTCGTACATGCCAAAGTACTTACTGCTGTAATATTGAAACATATTAATTGCAAATTTATATTTAACTCCCAGTGCAATGAAGTTCCAACAAGTGAGTTCTTGTAATGCCTCTAGTCTTTCTTTGCTATTTAGAGTTTAAAAAACATCTCATAGGTCCTATTAATTAAGATCTCAGTAGGAACTCTGCTTATTAAGTATATTAAAAAGAGAGTTCTTCCATTTTCTGCAAATACATTCGAAAGAAAACAAAGCCTTACTGGTATACAACACAGAGTAAGAGGTGCTGAAACACAGGGAGTACCAGGCAGTCAGGAAGCAGGTAACTCCGGATATCTGCAGGCCAAATCTGTAAGTTCTTACTTGAACAAAACTCCTGAGATGAGAAAAATGAGTAAGGACAGACTAAGGAACAGGTCTTCACTTTTCCCTGGCTCCTCTCATTTTCTTCAGCTAAGGATACCACTAGTCCATTGCAAGATCACCGATTTCCTCACTGCAGGTGCGCATGAAGGGTGGCATGTATCCCACAGAGGCACGATTAAAACTCTGGTCTTAATTATATAAAGGCAAGTAATACATATTATAAATAATAAAAACATATATACAAAAGCTCACAAACACAAGACACACACTATAAATCCTAAAGCTTCACAAAGTACCTTTGTGGTGACATAGAGTATATAAACATTAATGAAGCCAGACAGAGCAATACAGAGAATTAACTGAGACTTACATCTCCTCCTACAGATGTCCTTAGTTCCTTGTTTTGATTAATATTTTAATATTCTAAGTGTCTAAGACATTCTAAGAACACAGCTTCTCCTAGAAAAAAAAAACCATCACATTGTCTCTTCTGATCTAGTAAATATTTGATTATTCCATACAAAGAGGAACAGCAGAAGACAGTTGTCTGTTCAGTCAGCCTTTCAGCAGAAAACATTACCCTGAAAGTTGCAAAGCACAGAAAAACTTAAATCTGGCTTTCGAGTAACATTCATTTTGGGTGACTGTTCTAGTATTTAACTGTTGGATAAATCAGTATTTTAAAAAACATAGGTGATAAGTCTAACTCTGGGAGGTAGTTCATGTTTGTGAATCATCAGATTAGCACTTATCTCTAACCACAGTACAGCATTTGAGCCCAGAAAAGGATGAAATGCAAGACTGCACCTTATTACATGCTATTGTGACTAGCTTAGAGTGGTTGCTCATTTTTACTTAGTGAATTCAGTTCATAGGCATTCAATTCTTTCCTTGCATTTTATGAAAGCCTAGGTTACCTCAATCACTATTTCACATTTGGGAAAAACTCCCAAACAAACCAGCAATAGATCGTGGTGCCAGGAACAGCTCTTATGAAGTGAAATTATCACTATCAGCTATCTCTGGCCGTTAGACAGAAACAGTGATGGAAATGCTTTCAAAGATAAAAATCAAGAAAAGAGTAAAGAAAAAAGGCTTCACAATAAATATAAGTATTTGGAAATTTCCTCAAAAAGCTGGAGAAAAGAATGACACACAAACAGAAAAAGCTTCTCCAAGAATTAGGAAGAGAAACAGGTTCTGTTCACAAAAGTTTGGCTAATGAGGTTGTGCTACAGCTTGAACTGACAGACCTAAAAAAGAACCTTTGGAAAATTAAAGACAATTAGCCACCTGGATGTGAAATCAGACAAGCTAAAAAATGTTGGCAAGGTGAGGTTTATCACAGTACTATCACACTACTTTTAATCATGCTTGTAATGGGAGAACGTTAGCTATTCTGCAATAAAAGACCAGACTGTCCTCTTTTGCCTCAGAATAAAAAGATTCACAGGGAGACCTATCTGAGCTGATGCAATGACAACGTAAGAAACAGTATCTGGCAAAGAAGATGTAAAGCCACAATGAGCAGATGAGTTCTGGTGGGTCTACAGAGTTTGTTACCAGGATAGGGGCTGTCTGCAC